ACGTTATGAATCACCTAGAGCGCTGGTTTCGGTTAGTTTGTTTTGGAATGTTAATGTGAGATGTGGTTTGCCTGGTATGCATTTATGCTATTTCCATTAGATAATGCCATAATTCACTTCACGGACATAATAACGCGATATAAAAGCCATTAACGACAACGACAAATAGCTCCTCGCTTAGATATTAAATAGCCTCCAGCTCAGGGGTCATGGAACATAAATCGAGGAGGCCGTGGCTTTATTAATATATTGACTATGTGAGGATGGAGGGGGGGGGGAGGGCGTTAAGAATCTCTCTCCTACAGTACAGCCCTCTAACGCTAATCTCTGCAACGTCAGCCTCGGTAATGGCCTCGGTTTTATGTCCCTGTCGACTCTTCGGCTCGCAAAGATACTGATTTATCGTCATTCCTCGGCTGTCATGGGTTCGAGTCCGGAGGGACGAAATAATTCGTTTTGTTTTTTTAGGACGGTATTCAAGAATTAAACGTACAGAGTAAGCAGTTTTGTAGATCTGAAGGAATGCATACTCTTTCGAATCTTAGCTTTATAGTGTTTCAGTTTATTAATTTAAAATACTGTATACTCGAGTGAAAACTTACATTAGATGTCTATTTATCATTCTACCACTTGCGATGTCAGCATAACATGTTTTTGTACATACAGTAAATTATCAAGATCACAGGCGGATCTGCGGGGGGAGGGAGCTTTCGGGCTGAAGCCCCCCCCCCTTCAAAATGGTAAAACGTAACCATGTTTATGGTAAAAAAATTATCTCTTAAAGTATTATTTTTCGTATAATTACATTTAATAGAACTTCAAGAATCACTTAATCACCATTTCATATAGGTAGTTAGTATCTTTCTTTTTTTTTTCAAAGTAATTATCGTTATATGTTTCATTCTTTCCTATGGCTGTTAAAGCAACAATTCGCTTCATAATTGATTAGCTTGTCCGAATGAAAAATATCCTTCAAGTTTAATAGTTAAACAGTAAGGCACAGATTTCCTGAACTTATCCTAATCCATCATTGTATCCATTATCCACGTTTTTTTGCGGCGTGTGGATGAAACAGAGCCGTCAGGCTCAGATGTGTAACTTTCATTCGGGTAAAATCGACTCCAGGCGACTAATTGAAATGTTTTTGTTGAACATATGGATTAAAATATCTCAGAAACTAAAAATTGGATCTGCGTACTGTAATTTATGAAAATGTTCAACATTTAATCCTCTTTGTAATTAGCTATAATTCAAAATTGTATACAAAAGAATCAAAGGTTTGATGCAGAGCTCCAGCTCCGTTTAAACCCAACTCCGCCAGATCTCAGCCTTAACGCAATCTTCCCACCTTCGCTTTGGTCTACCCCTCGGACGCTTGCCAGACGGTACTTTTACATGCCCATTTTATTCGCCTCAACTTATCATCTCAATTATATGAACCGGACATAGTTCAAGCAACTCAGAGTTGTGTAACCGCCTAAATTTTCCGGTTGACTCGTACTTTTACCGAGTAATTAAAAACCGAATTAAATAAATCATTTGTAATTTAAAAACTACTGAGCTATATAGAACTACAGGACATGTGATGTGTATATCGGAAACTAAGGAACAGTGGTGCTGCCCTCAGCGTTATCAGTCTGGAATACAACTACAAATATCTTCAGATACGCCAGCAGATTCAAGGCTATTTTAGAAGCGTCTCTTTTTAAAATATTTGCTCTTAAGTCTTCGATTTGGCACACAGTTGTTTATAATTATTCTCTATAATTTTCGATATTTAATCGATTTTTGGGACGGCTATCGAGGAGCTAGAGATGAGAAGAAAGGCCCGTCCAGAGAAGGTCTATATAATTGGCCCTGGTGAGTGGCGAAGGAGAGAGGGGGGGGGGCCGCAAACCGGTTCCTCCAGACACCTACCCCCCTCCACCTTGCTACAAATATCGAAAGTGTAACACTTTTTACTTTCCTTATTTAACATTTCGTTTTATTTATTGCCACCTTTATAATTTGTCTTATTTGCATATCGTGATGGTTTCCCATTAGGCAATACAACCGAAATAATACCTCAGACCTTCAATTTTTTTATATATATTTTATTTATTGAATTTTACAACTGTATTAAATCAATGCATTTAGTAAATATGCACAAATTAGAAATAATGAGATGTACAGACTTGTTGAGATTCTACCCAGTGGTAGCACTGCCTAAATAATTCAACACAAGATCACGAGGCCATCTTCTTTTCAGATGCCTAGAAGGATTATTTTGAATCTAAGAAGTAGTAACTATGTTTTATGAAAAAAATTATCTCTAAAAGTATTATTGTTCGTCTAATTACATTTAATAGGACTTTAATAAGGGGATGAAGTCTCTCCCCCCCAAAAATTAAATCCTGGTTAGTGATTGCAAATAGTGGAAAAAATATAAAATTATGATTGACGAAAGAAAATAAATAAAATAGATGTTAGTATTATTATTTGTTTCGGAAATCATTTCATTGATTGTAATTAATAGAATTAAGGATAAACAAAAATAACCACACTTCTTTGAGTAGGAGAGACGGACTGACAGTATTTTTAATCCGGGATACAGTCCCATTTTTATCTAATTATTAACATCCTCTTAAAACTTGGTTAATAACTTTATCTCATCGTAACCTACAACTTTTTATTTATACTAATTTTTTTTTTTCAATTCTCGTAATTGGGGCGTTTGCGATCTGGAGATCGGCAAACTTTATCTATTTAATTAGGCACCGTAAGATGGGGTAACTTTATGAATGCAAATTACGAAATATATGTTATTATAAGTCAAATGAAGTTTGCCTGCCGTTCCAGAGCCGCTGCTTTCAAAAATGGCTGATTTAAAGATTATTAGGTCCAGGAATATCGAAACGGGAAATATATTTTAAAAAATTGTTATTTGTTTAACTTTTGTATATGCGTTAAAGTATGTAGAATCCTAAATTTCTAAATCTAGCAATCATGGAAGAACTTTTTTTTTACAGCCGAAAAAGCCATATTTTTTAGATATTTTTTTTGTTTTTTCATATACAACTCCTAAACGGTGTATCGAAGCGAAAAATGTAACCCTTAATAAATTAAAAACGTTAAATTGTGCGTAGAATGAGTACCAAAACTTATTAATTTGGTTAAGTAGTAAGGTAGAAAACCACGGTCAACGAACGCTGATTTTTACCAAATTTATCAAAAACGGAGATAATTCAGTCTAAATGGCTCTGTAGCTTGGAAATGAGTTCCTGAAGAGGAAAAAACTCATAGAATCAAAGTTGTAGAGCATCAAATTCTGTATCCACTGAGTACCAACAGTGAGTTTATTTCACATGGGAGATAAAGCTATTAACGAAGTTTTAGGAAGATGTTAATAATTGGATGAAAATAAGTCTATAATAATTTAATATTTTATTGGATTTTTATGTCTAACACAATTTTTCACTGTCCTTCTGTAGTTTTTCATAGGTTTGACACTTAAAAAAAAAAAAAATAAAATTTATTGTTATGAAAGAGACATTTCTTCCAAATTCCTAATATTTATCTGTAATGTAATCGGATTATAATTTATACTATATGCGTCGTTCAAAACGAAGGCTTGATTCTATCCTCGAAGGCTTGATTCTATCCTCGGTTGGTTCTAATTATGTTATATTTCGATTTTACTTTTACACAAACTCATATTTTCAAACAAAAAAATTAATCAAAATACTTTAAATTATATATGTTAAATATTTGTTAATTATCATAAATAAATCAAACAGCATCGAATACCAGCAACTATTTTGAATAAATAAGTTGACATATTTTAATGATACGACTAGTTTTGCAAAGGCACTTTCTAATTGGTTGGTTGTTTTTTTAGTCACATTTTCTCTAGTTAGTATACCAAATATTTTTTTCTTTAACATGAACAAACAGGTTTTGATTACAGACTTACTTATATCTGATAATGATTACTTTTTTAGATGATTAAAAATAATCTTAAAAAACAATTTCTTAACACCCATAATTATTTATGTATAAAAACAAATCCAGTTAAATTTATTGAATAAGTGATGTTTGCTTCACTTTTCCTTAGGCATTTTTGTTTCTGAATTCTTTGTATTTATCATTGATTTGTAATTTGCAATTTTATAGTTCTCTTTTATTAATTTATGCATAATATGGACAGTTCAGAATCTTAAAAGTGTTTAAAATAGTTATTATAAAGTAAACAGATTCAGCATATATTTAATAGTACAATATTATGAAGAATATAGGCTAGGAAAGGAATATTTTATATAATATCGAAACTATGAATCTTTATTGATCTAGCCACTTAATGACGATGGAAGACAACAGTTGACCGAAAACGTTTTTCTATATAAACCAGAATCTAGAAAGAAAAGGGAACATATAAGAAATACCTGGAAAGAACATGTAAAGGAAGGAATGACAGTCAACTTTCGTTCAGGCGCCAAAAATAATAGTTTTTTGTATTTCATTCTGTCCCAGCTTAGGATTGTCAGACTTAATATTATGTCATTCAGGCAATTTTGATAAATAACAACATAAACTAAAATTAAAAATGTATCGTTTATTTCATGAATTACAATTTAAATTAATATTTTAAAATATGATATTTATTGGAGGCCTTGTATTAAATAAATACAAATGTAACATACTCTTGAAAAAACAATATAACGTTATACATTCTAATATCTATAATACTTAGTATCTTCAATACTAATAATAAATTGCTGAATCAGGCTGGACTATCTTGTTTTTAATGCTCTTATGGATTGAAGACAAAAAACTGACAGCTGTGCGCTATCCTTCTTAATCAATTGAGAATAAATTGTAACTTCAATATCATCTAGACTTTTTAAATAAATTTCATCACATTATAACTGTTGACATTTAAAACTACTATTATTTTAAATTTATTAAATAATCAATTTTAAATTAAAATGTTTACTTATCGACTCCTTTGTTATCTGTTACAGTATGCATCGGGACGAACGGGAGAATGTCCTCTCCTTCGAACAAGGAGCACCATTATCGCAACCTGAGGGACCGATACACCAATTGTACCTATGTGGATGGGAACCTCGAGCTGACCTGGGTTCAGGACGAACATTTAGATCTCAGTTTTCTCCAGTATATAAGGTAAATATAAAAATATGATTAGCTTTTGTCCGTTTTTTTTTTACTTTCATGTTAGTATAGTGCAGAAGAGGTTGGGATGGTAGAGTGTGCTAAGGCACTTCAAATATTTAATCCAAGTCAAATGTCGAACATTGTAAGCATACTCAAGATTCCTGCAACTATCTCCACCGAGGTATGGCCCGTCAGCGAACTGAAGATTAACCCACACTAACTAGAGGAGTAATGATGCTCCTTGTGTACTTTAATTAGAATAAATTTGCATGAATTTTCAATTTTTGATTCTTGATGATGATTATGTTATAACAAAAAAATAGCAAATGTCCTAAATGTTTCTTATGCATATTTGCAAAGATAATTATTTATTTAATATATATAAATTATTTAAAAATTAATAATTAAAGAAAAGTGATGGGTGTTGAGCTAAGTCATGGGCGTTGAGACATGACTACTTCATGACGTGCAAGCGACTAGCTCATACATTTATCTTATACATACATCAAGTATCTTATACATTTAGCTTCAAATAGTCTTTCCAACTTCAAAATCCATCCAAGAAATATCTTTCCATTTTATCTCTCATCCTATCTAAACAGAAATATATGGTTTAAAATGTAGTTTATTAGTTTTTATAAATGCATGTTTATAATGGTGAAGCTTAAAGATATTTGATAGCATCATGTTTGGCAGTAGGTATATATTGCATCACAGCGGACTCAGGCCACAACTCAAATCCCCACCAAAACTCAAAGAAACAGTATTATTTTAAGGTTTTAGCTAAATAAGAACCTATTTTTATTATTTGAAAAGCAGAATTCAATTTTATGTTTGGTTTTTATCATTTGAATTCTATTATAACTCAAATTTATGCGAGTTTTTCCCCTTACAAGTACACAATTAAATATATTCTTTTATGACCCAATATTTAAGTGATGTTATTAAGTTTTCATTCAAATTACAAAATATAGACTAGTAAATTTCTAAGTTCAATTTAATTAATGTAATTTCTCTTTCTTTCAGAGAGGTGACAGGCCATGTTCTGATATCACATGTAGATGTCAAGAGAATCGTCTTGCCGCGACTGCAGATCATCAGAGGACGTACCCTCTTCAAGTTAAATGTTTACGACCAAGAGTTCGCACTTCTTGTCACCCTATCGAAAATGCACACCCTCGAAATGCCTGCACTCCGAGGTATTATTCTTTAATTTTATATTATAAACATGTTTGTCTTTTAATATGTACATAGCATGAAAAAATGTGCCTTCATTTTTATGCTGATTTTAAAATATGCTTTAATCTTTTTTTTTAAACTGTTGTATATTATTAACTTAAAAAATAAAAAAACTTTTTATCCAACTACGAAACTAAAGAATCATTTAATTTATCGTAAATTATTTTATTCGTGTTCAATATAAATATAACAAACGAGTTCTGAATCATTGGTAAATATTTAGTCAAGCTAATCTCATCTGATAAGAAGCTGTTGATGTGTAATTATTTATTTCTCATGTTTTAGTGATAACACTGATAAGAAATCTAACAAACATAATTTTTTTATGTTTATTGTTATGTTTATAAAATAAGGATATTGTTTAAGTAACGTTTTCTTCATTAAGTAACATTAAGTAAGTAATGTCCATAAGAATAAAAAAAACATATATTTCAATTTGATGCATTGATATTATTTTTGTTTTATTTACTAAAAGTTTATTTATCTAACAGATTAACTCTAGTGTCTTCAACATAAAGTATTTTAGTAATAAAATTGAATTGAATTTTTTTTATTTTTCCTATATCGATAGCCACACTGCAAAACCTTTAAGAACAGTTTTATTGGACAAGGAAGAAAACACCAAAAATTATAAGAGATTTTCAATTCAATCTTAGCCTCATGAATATTAGAAATATAAACCATGATAGTTATATAAACAATATTTCCTTGTTATAAATAAAATTAATAAAAAGTCTAGTTTATAAAATTAAAAATACCAATTTACTAGATGGTATTAGGCTGTTTAAATATAACTAATTATTCAGATTGTATACCATATGAAAGTCTCTTTTTAAATTATTATTTTATGTCTCTTATAATGACGAGCTTATGTAGTTAATACAAATAGTTCTTAATAAAATAATAACTATTACTATACTAAAATAAATAAATAACTGAGTATCATATAGTAAATATGATAGTATCCAGAAAACAGATGTCACAGTTACCATTATGTTAAGAATAATGTAAACTAGACGAAAAACATAGTTCAAATTTTAAACTTCAACTGAAAGAATGAGGATTGAAGGGATGAATATGGTGCTGGAAACTGAGAGTTCCTTCATTAAAAAAATTAATAAGGGACTGTTTTATGTTATTTAACCTTAATAAATATGTAGTTTTTTTTTAATCTCTTTAATATTTTTATATTTTGTTTTTATACGTGTATACTTTGCTTTGGAATGTGACTGTCGATATTCAACTTTATTTCTAAAAGGTGTTTTTTTGTTGGTACGCCATAACTTCATCAATTCTTCATGAAATCCAATGATTGACCACTCATTTTGAAGATATTCTTCTCCTTCACATGCGAAAAATAGTACCATTTCCCCAAAATTTCTGGAAAAAAAAGTTATGGAGGAAAAGAAACTTTATTTGCGAATAACTCAAAAAGTATTAATTTTTTTCTGGATTGTACCCATCATAATTAGAACGATTAGTAAATTACCTACAAAACAAAAAAAAAATCAGAAAATCTGAACAATTATTAACAAAGTTTTAGTATACTTAATAATGTCTTCCTGTTTAAAGATATTGCATTTAGGAGTAGAATAGTCTACTACATTTTTTTTCCTGGCTTTTATAAACTTTATTATTTCTTAAAGACATTGTTTGTTCTTGCGTTTTATTTTTTTTTAATAATTTAGAATATCCTATGATCGGAGCATTATTTTGTCTTTATTAATTTTATTATCTTTCCAGTCAGTGTTTAAAAATAGGTCCTATCAAAGAATTTTGTATAGACATTTTGGTCTATAATGTTTAATGGAATATTGTAATCGACTAAGGAAAAAATATTAATTCCTTCCTTACATAATACATAGGAACTACTTAATTCCATATCGTTTTGCTATTTCTTCACTAAACGAAATTTGCTACGAACTTTTCGAACGGGCCAACTAGTATTATATATTTTAAAAATGATTTATACTGCCATTGTACTAATTTTTTTGTTTATTTTCAATGTCTATAAATATTTATGTTCTAAAATCTATTTTTATGTTTTCAGATATCCTGGCCGGTAGCGTTGGCATGTTTAATAATTACAACTTATGCCATGTAAAATCGATAAACTGGGACGAGATCATTACCGGCCCGAACTCAAGCTACGTATACGTTTACAACTTCACCCAGCCTGAGCGAGAGTGCCCTCCTTGCGACAAGTCCTGTAAGGCAGGTTGCTGGGGAGAAGGTCCGCAAAATTGTCAAAACTTCTCTAAAATCAATTGCTCTCCGCAATGTTACCAGGGTCGCTGCTTCGGACCAGAACCAAGGGATTGTTGTCACCTGTTCTGCGCCGGTGGCTGCACGGGTCCAAAACAGAGCGATTGTTTGGTGAGTTTCGTTTGTTCATTTATCTATAACATTGATTATAGTTAGTATTTTTAAAAATAAATATACTTTATAAATTAAAGGTGATATTTATTTGTTATTGTTAGATATTTATAACTTGGTTTAAATTCTATTTATTTTTTATTTTATACTGTATATCACTTGCTATTATATAATTTTAAAAAAAATCCTAATATGATAAAAACTATGAACTTTTTTTGTCAATACTAAAAATATGGAATTTGACAGTCTCAAGGAGACTGTATTGAGACCGATAATATATTGCCTATCTGTTTGTAGTCAGCATTAATGTTGTCTTGAAGTGTTGGTCAGACTTGCAATGTTTGAAATGGTAAAATTAATTAATATCTTAAAGTTTGAACTCTTCAAATAATAATCTAAATAGTCAGTACTTGAAAGCCTTCAGTGCTCGAACCACCTCTGATGATGACCCATATGTTTGGGTTGAAACGTTGGCACAATTAAAAAAAAATTTTTATAATGACCGTCCTGAATATTTATCACCCATGATCAGCTTCGAACGGTCGACTAGCTTCCTTCAATAATCTAAATATATAATCTTCATATAAATCTACATAATTTATCCTTATTAATTATCGTATCAAATGCAATCTTTGGCCTAAATTCAAAGACTTCATTAGGACTACAATTGCCAGGTTTTCTCAACAAAACATACTTTATTAAATCAGATTGCTTCTTTTAAAATCTCTGGTATTAATAGCCTTGTTGAAGCCCTCAAACTTAGGTCATAAAATCTGTACATACAAAATAAGACTTCTTATTTTTGTGTAATTTGATATTTTAACTCATACCCTACAACTCATACTATTAGATCTAAGGTTAACAATACCTGCAACATTTTAAAGATAATTGACATATATATTGTATCTATTGCTGTTCTCAGGCTTGTCGTAACTTTTACGATGAAGGTGTCTGCACGCAAGAATGTCCTCCTATGCAAAGATATAACTCGATATCATATTCATGGGAAGTGAATCCAAATGGAAAATACGCTTACGGTGCTACATGCGTAAAGAACTGTCCGGAACACCTGCTGAAAGATAACGGTGCCTGCGTACGGAGCTGTCCGCCAAAGAAAAAGGTAATATACTTTAATGAATAACCAAAGGTATATTATGATATTAATGTTTTTATTATATTCTTATGATGTTTGTTTCTGTACAAGCTTCGTGGAATTAGTAAGTATCACGAAGATCTGTTCAATTTGATTTATTTTTTTCAGTTTAATAAAATATATATAGAATTCTAAATCTTTATGAATATATTTTTTAAATGCTTTGTTTTTTCGCAGGCTGTGAATGGTGAATGTGTTCCTTGTGATGGACCGTGTCCGAAAACTTGCCCCGGGACTACTTCAATCCATTCTGGCAACATTGCTTCCTTCAAAGATTGTACCATCATCGAAGGATCCTTGACGATTCTCGACCATACTTTTAGCGGCTTCCAGCAGGTTTTCCCCAATTACTCTTACGGTGAATGGTTTCCAGCTATGCATCCAGACAAATTAGAAATCTTCAGCACCCTCAAAGAAGTCACTGAATATGTCAATATTCAAGGCTCACATCCAAATTTTACAAACTTGTCTTATTTCAGGTAACTAAATTTTTTTTTTGTAATAATTTATGGATTTTATCTTTAAGAAATATATAGTAGGGTAAAGACTTCATAAACCCTTATTCAATTAAATGTGATTCTTATTAATAAAAACGATATAGAGTTCATAAAAAGAGAAATTGATATTCCATTTTAGTGAGATTAATTTGAATATCACTATCAAAATATTAAAAAAAGAAATTTTTTTTTTCGCTCAAAAAATAATTTTTTAACAATACCTAATGAAATTCTAAAAATATTTTATCATAATAAGTTTAATTGTATTAATATCGATCTATTTTTGATATGCCATAAATCTGTAAATACTTTATCAAAACCAGCGCTATATTATTATAATAATTTGAAAAGTGATACAAGTTCTTTGTAAACCAAAAATCTTCTTCTTCTTCTTTGTCCTCCTCACAATGCCACTTTTAGTGTTGAGGAGCCTCTATCCAACGCAGCCACCCTTCCCGGTCTCTGCTTAACCGCTTCATTTGGTTGAAGGATTTGCCTCTTCTACCATGAACTTCTGATATGAGACTCTGGGACGCCCTCGTGGCCTCTTCCCTGTGGGTCGAGCCTCTAATATTTTTATAGGGTCCATGTCCTCGTCATTGCAGACATGTCCAAACCACCTTAATTGCCTGTTCTCCAAGGTAGTTTTGTGTTCAGGCACTTCCAGCTGTTCTCTGATAGTTTCATTTCTAATGCGATCCCTCCTAGTTTTGCCCACCGATCTATGTAGGAATCGCATTTCCGTTGCTGTTATGCGACTATAATGTTTGTCCAACTTTTTCCGGTGTAGATGAGAATAGGAAGGTATACAGACTTATAGACGTGCATCTTGGTATTTTATCCACTTCACGGCAGCTGAGGATACTGCTAGCAATCTGGTGATATACTTGATTCGCCTTAGATATTCTATACGAAATCTCAGCATCTATCTTACCAGCGTAAAAAATCAAAAATGGATTATTATCCAAAAAATACAGCTTATTAGTTTTTAAATATTATTTTCAATAATCCTTTTAAATAGATTTAACACTTCCTCCCTCAAAAGTTATTACGTTTACTTATTCCGTCATTATTTTGAAATTAACAATTAAATTTATATTTAGGTAATTAAATTTATTTTGATAAATATGTATTTATTTTGTGAATGAATGATTAGTAAAAAAATAAATCGTTCTGTTATCTAGGAACTTAGAAGTAATCGGTGGAAGGAAAGTGACAGAATATTTCTCCTCTCTATACATCGTGAAGACTTCGCTTAAATCACTCGGTCTCCGCTCACTGAAGAAAATCCACTCAGGCAGTATAGCGATCCTCGAGAACAAAGATCTCTGTTTCGCCGAAGGGATCGACTGGTCAAAGGTGAAGAAATCCTGGACTGCTGAACACAATACTTTATTACAGAACAATAAGCCGAAAGACCAGTGCAGTATGTTTCTTATGAAATTCCTTTTAATTGATTGATTCATTATTTTATCAAATAATTATTTAAAAAAAAATGTTTTAAACCTATTTTCCAGTCAAAGAAGGAATGGTGTGCGATCCTCAGTGTACCTCCGAAGGCTGCTGGGGCCCAGGGCCAGATCAATGTCTCTCTTGCAACAATTACAGATTGGGCAACACTTGTCTTCAAGATTGCGACGCCGTCGCTGGGTAAGGATAACATTAGTTTGATAAATATTATCTGTACATATAGTCAAACACTGTATTTATAAAGACCCTTTAAAACAGTTTAATTTCTTTGATCAACTTACTTTATACGAAAAACTATAAAAAAAAAGATCCAACATTTTAAAATTTTTTTACCAAAATATAGCAGAGCTTATTGTGTTCAGGAAACATGGTATTCTTCAAAACACGCTGTGTACCCCTGTGTAAAAGGTGTTTGATGAATATGAGTTTTGAAAAAAAACATGAGAATCTTAATTAATCTATATTTTGTTGATCAAAGCTGACTTTTTCAAGAAATGTCGACCTCTCCTAAGTTTTCGGACCTATATAATAAACATACAACATCTCCTATATTTCTTAAAAATTCATTAGTTACATTGTTTTAATGGAGCTAAACTTTTAAGTACGTTTTGTAAATTTCGATCCGTACCGAAACACAGTAATTTTATCAAAACCCTTTAATACATGGAAAATAGTTACATTAAGTGAACAATATTCTGATTCCGTAGAGGCACAGGCGGGTCTACGGGGAAGGCTTTAGAGCAGAAGCTCTTCCCCCTCCCAAAAAAAAAAAATGTTAAAATTTAACCATGTTTTATGAGAAAAAATATTAAAAAATTATATCTAAAAGTATTATTGTTCGTATAATTACATTTAATAGGACTTATTTTTCTATTGTGTTATTGTCACTGTGACTCCGCATTATTATATTCTTTTTCTAGTACAAATATTGGGGTGGATACATGACCAAGTTTGAAAATTGATAAAGGAATGATTATTTCTGATCAACATTACATTGCTTATATAATTTTTTTTTTTTTTTTTTGCCTTTGTGGTTTATTATCACTTCTTTAAATATTTCCCATTTTTTATGGAAAACCCTATGCATGGAGTTCAATTAATGGAAATGGTAATTCAGTCTTAAGTTTATTAACACAAATAACAAACAACACTTGAAATAAAGCTGCAAGGTAACGTTACTTACCTAGCTAAATATGTTAACAACGATCCTGGCATTGTTCTAGAAAATTGACAATGTAAAAGGGCTTATTAAGTCTGTGATGATTTCCCCTGGTGGTTGGAAACCAAACTACTTATCTTTAACTATTTAAGACAAAGCTTTGGTCAAGGAACTTGAATATAAAGTATCAAAAAGACTTTAAAAGTAAAGTACTTTGAAATTATCAAAGACAATTTTCTAGAGTATTACTTTTCAATACTAAATTATCAATTTTATTTCATTTAAAGGATTTACCAATATTTTCCGAAGATTTAAAACCTTTTAAATGTACTTTTATTATTTTGTCACATCACAAGTGTTTAAATTTTTCTAGTGGATCTAACTTGAATTCCAAAAGCTTTTTCTATTGATATACATTACAGAGTTTCTTTTCCAATATTTAAAAATCTTATTAACTATTTAATTCATAAGAACTCCATTCTTGTTATTCGATGTTTGTACTTTTATGAAAATTTATATTATTTTTTTTTTCAGCATGTACAAATCTAACCAAAAGATCTGCATGCCGTGTCATGAAGAATGCGAGTCGACTTGTCTAGGTCCTGGGCCAGGAAATTGCACACGATGCAAAAACGTTCGGGATGGGCCGTTCTGCGTGTCCGAATGTCCAGCTTCGAAGTATAATGCGGACGGAGAATGTAAACCATGTCATTCTAATTGCGTATATGGTTGCAGTGGCCCGCAGAACACCATCGGTGCTACTGGATGCCATTCCTGTGAAAAGGCTATCATTAATGGAGAAGTGACTATTGTTGTGAGTGTTATTTTATTTTATAAATATTCATCTATTTTAATGCTTGAAATTATTGTAGATTATAATTTTACTTATATTGTTATTTTCTTTGCAGGAGAGGTGCTTGCAAAAGAACGAGTCGTGTCCAGATGGTTACTATAATGAGTACGTCCAGCCGCAAGAACAGGGAGCCTTGAAACCATTAGCAGGAAAGACAATATGCCGGAAGTGCCATCCGAGGTGTCGCAAGTGTACAGGATATGGATTCCACGTTCAGGTACCAATCCTTACTTATAGTTATAAAGCTATATTTTTCTCAATGAATGAATTTGTTTTTTAAAACAATTTTTTTTTAATTAAAGACTTCTTTAATTAAAAAAAAATTGGCGCGTTTTGAACTTCCGTGAATTAGATTGAGCTGTCAGATTTCCGATGTGTAACGCTCGGGTAAAGTCAGTTATGGATTAAAATATCTCATAAACTAAAAATCGGACGTGCATTTAGTTCATGAGAGGACTGTTCAGTATTTCATCCTTTCTGTAATGGGCTATTATTCAAAATTTTATCTTGATGTGACGTCCCATCAGAGAGGCAATAAAGGGAAAAATATAGCATTAAAAACCAAATCATAACAAATTTCATACTAAATAATCTCTTATTAAATATTCGATCATCACATATTTCAGTTATCATAAATCTATTGTTTCATTTTAGATTATGATCCTGACTTTGTATCAGTCGGAGCAAAGTTAACCAGAGAATTTGTATATATTGTAAATGTTATTACTTTCCGAATATAGAACACAAATGAATATTTATATTTCATATTATTAATCCCGTATTGATGTTTTCACTTCTATCATATGGTCTTAAGCACACATTATAATTTTTTTTTTTTTTAAATAGGTCTGCCAAGAGTGTACGAATTATAAACGAGGAGAACAGTGCGAGGATGAATGTCCACAAGACCACTACGCAGACGAATCTTCCCAGCAGTGTGTTCCATGTTCTCCAGAGTGTCGTGGTTGCACGGGACCTACCAACAGCCATTGCATCGCCTGTCGAAACTTTAAAATTTTCACTGTTAGTATTTTTATTTTCAACTATTAATATACGATAATTTAAAGTAGTGGAAGAAAATGTATCGGGCATGTTGGAATAAGGAGTAGGTTACTCAACTGCTTTTGTTTTCTACTGTTACATTCTACGCTTATTATAAAATTTTCATTATTACCCGAGGTTCCCATAGAAGAGGTGTTTACGAGAGTTTGTTCTTCACCTTGGGAAGTAAATTTTTCTTTATTATTGATTATTTTAATGTTAAAATCTTACTCGATCTTTGCAATACAAACATATTAATTAGACATATTTTGCTATATGACAAATTTTAATACTAGAAATAAATAAAATAACGTTGCACTGCTGCTCAACTGAGTTGAGTTGCTAAATCACACAGCATACTCGTCTTCACATGTTTACAATCAACAGATAATATTAAAAAAACAAAATTAAAGAGAGTTAGGTGAGACCACTGGAATACATATCAAATATGCCAAGAACAGTTTACAGAATCAAATAAGCGAAGGCCAAGATCAATATATCTGATGATGGAGGATTCCTAACGAGTCTAAAATAATATTTTCTGTCATGGTTTGCATCTCCTTCCTTCCAACACAGAGTCTCTGCAAGAAATCACTTGTATTAAGAGGAATGCTTCTCCTTTAAGTTATATATGAAAAATGTTCCTATATAAAAAAAATTGTTTTATTTTGATATACTTTATTGCTGTTCATAGTTATTCCAATTCAATTAATGAAATTTTTTTTCAAATTTTTCTTACCAACTTGGTGTGTTTTGGATGAAGTTTGGTTGGCTTATCTTGACTAATTGATTTTGAGGTTCTCCTAAGAGGTTATTACTTCTCATGAAGTCTGGGGAAATAAATGTTATGTTATATATCCTTATCAACATATTGTTTAAAGAGATCAAGATAGCATTTGTTCATATTAACCATTGACAAGTTTGTTTTATTTTTTTTTTCATCATGGTTATGTATTAATTTAATTTTTATAAATTTCTGTTGTAGAGTGAACTCCTCGCTGACAATACGACATTATTCAACTGTACCGAAACATGCCCACCTGATAGGAATCACAGAGTGTTCCCTGAGAACGGAGAACCGTACTGCTCGGTGGAACCAGAACCAAGAATGTAAGTTGAATTATTTTATAACGAAATAGGATTTTTATATTTTCGAGTAAAAATTCTGGTTAGTTATGTTATTAATGTAGAATGTAATAAGTTTGATTTGCTTCTTATTACAGAGCTGAGAGTGAGAGAATGCCGATTGTTTTCATGAGCGTAATCGCTGGAGCTCTGATACTGTTCGGTTTCCTCATCATCCTGGTGTACCAGTGCAGGCTGCGAAACAAAGAAAAGAATGCCACGAAGATGTCGATGATGCTACAGGGTTTAGAACCTCTCCATCCAACAAACGTCAAGCCTAACCTCGCAAAACTTCGTATCATCAAAGAAGCTGAAATGAGGAGAGGAGGTGTTCTTGGATATGGAGCCTTTGGAACTGTATACAAGGCAAGTATTATACTACATTTTTTGAATTTTAAATTGTAATTCTTACCAGTGGTTTAGTGGTTTAAGCAGTTAAAATATAACTGTTTCTTAATTCCAGTTACTGACAGAAAAACACTTCACAATATAAATAAAATAATTCATAGTTTTCCAAAGACACTGAAAAAAATCATTATTATTTGTAAACTACATAACCTTTACACCAAGATAGTACTGATAACTTTCCATAGACCAACGCTTAAAAATCATTCTTTGTAAAAATTAATCCTAGAGATCTATTAAACATATTGATGAAGTCATGGATTATGACTTGTGAATGTTCTAAATTTTTTAGAATCTTCATGATTCTTTTTCTGTACTTTCTAGACTTTTCAAACTATTTTTATGATTTGCGAAAGATAAAATCATTATATTATTATAATTGGTAATTGGTTGACTGTCGTGGATAATGAAGAGAAGAATAGTTGGAGTGCTCAGTCAAAAAATTTTTGACTGAGCACCCCAACTATTCTTATTATCTTATTAAATTGTTATTTAAAAATAAGCATTACAAATAATTAATTATCAGTTAACATAGGCGAAATCACTACTAAATAAAAAACAAGAATTTCTCGTAATATAGTCAAGTTATTTGTATTTTTAATCTTTAGTACCATGTCACATATGATAAATTTTTTACTATCTCGGATCCACATTTGTTTCTCATAATTGCTTTTAAATAGTCACGATCATACTACAGATTAATTGTCCGTAGACATGAACTAGATATTAATTTTTACAAAAAAGTCACTTTCTTAAGAAATGTATCCTCTTTCGTTGATTTAGGTGAAATTAATTTATTTTAGAAATAAATTATATTATTTATAACTTTATATAAAATCAACTTATGTATGTTTTTATTTTGTTTTTTGTATTATTCTACAAGCATCAAGATTGTTAAAAGCAGAACTAATAGTCAATGAATTATTATTATATGAATTATTGAACATTTAATTATTCCATTTATAATAACTAAGTTGTATAAATTTAAATTATTTTCTTTATAGGGTGTATGGGTTCCTGAAGGAGAAAGTGTCAAGATCCCAGTAGCCATCAAAGTTCTTCGTGAGCGGACAGGAGCTAACACGAGCAAAGAGTTTCTGGACGAGGCGTACATCATGGCAAGCGTCGAACATCAGAACCTGCTTCAGCTGTTGGGCGTTTGTATGACTCACGAGATGATGCTCGTGACACAACTCATGCCGCTCGGCTGTCTCCTGGACTATGTCAGGAACCACAAAGACAGGATAGGGTCGAAACCACTCCTCAACTGGTGTCATCAGATAGCCAGGGGTAAGTAATATTTGTTCAATTGGATTAACCTTGATTTATTGATTCATAAAGAAGAATTATTATTATTATTATTAAAACAATACTTTCCCTTACATTTAATAAATAAGGAAGTTAAATAAAAAGTAATTATTATTTTAAATATAGTTGTGAATTATCATTGTATATTTTTATTCAGGTATGGGTTATCTGGAAGAAAAGAGATTGGTGCACCGAGACTTGGCAGCTAGAAATGTTTTGGTCCAGACTCCAAGTTGTGTGAAAATCACCGATTTTGGTCTTGCCAAGCTGCTCGACATTAACGAAGATCAGTACAAAGCTGCAGGAGGAAAAATGCCTATTAAATGGCTTGCTCCAGAATGCATTCAGCTTAGGACTTTTACTCACAAAAGTGATGTTTGGGCTTTCGGTAAGTATATTTAGTCATTAATTAAGTCATTCCTTATAGATTTTTACTGCTTCATCATTACTGAAGATATGTTAGTTTTTTGATCATGTGGAGAGTTAAAAAAAAAGTCCTTTCGATAAAAAATTTTAAATTTCATATTACAATATATGAAATCAAAAAACAAATTAAGCATTGTGTATGTAGTAAAATCTATGTCTTGGGTAGAATGCTGAGGGAATTTCATGGTGCAAATTGTGCAACAGGCTACATTTTTATGGTGTTTAAATTTTTGAGGGAGACACATTTCAATGAGGGTATGAATATTTGTAAAGATCTATATATCAGTGGGCTTCACTTTAGAGAAACTTTTAAATCAGGGAACTACTTTTGCTTAAGCAGGCACAAATGTGTTTCCTTGACAACTGTACGTTTAAAAAATGGCTCATTCCATTTATTGTATTTATTCTTATACAATCTTATTAAATTATTGATTTTCCAATGTATCATAGGCTTTGAATTATAGTCTATCTAATATTCAATCAATTATTAGAAATGGTGAGGAAGCTTAAATGACCTGACTTGACAAGATGTGTTATTATTAATAGTTTCGAATTGTGTTATTATTGATAAAAGGTCTAAATTAAACTAACGCTTATTTTGTTTATCAGGTGTGACGATCTGGGAGTTGTTGACTTACGGTGGACGCCCTTACGAAAGTGTCCCTGCAAGAGAGGTTCCGGAATTATTGGAAAAAGGAGAGAGATTGCCTCAGCCGAACATCTGCACGATAGATGTCTACATGTTGATGATCAAGTGTTGGATGTTGGATGCTGAGAGCAGACCATCGTTTAAGGAGTTGACCGATGAATTCTCCAAGATGGCCCGTGATCCTGGTCGCTACTTGGTCATCCAAGGCGACAAGCTCATGAGGCTACCCTCTTATTCATCTCAGGTAATTTATTTTTATTTTTCCATTTCTGTTGAATATTTTGTTTAAGTTTGATTAATTATGATAAATAATAAAATAATAATTACTAGCATACCCTAGCGAGAACTCTAACATTAGATCTGTATCCTACTCCCTAATGTATTCAATCTATAAGTGATATCAGCGAAACATGATTGTTCATTCAGTAGATTAACGTTATCTACCCTTGTCGGGACTGAGAGATCATCGCTTAATACGGAGGGTATGAAATAAAATCAAACACATAACATAACTAAGAAAGGTTATGCACATATTAATTCAGGAAGATAACATTTATGTGCCAATTCAATCTAATTATTATAAATATTTCTATTAACGATCTTGTCAGTTTTTCACAAAATCAGTTATTTTTCTTTTTATTTCAACTCGTTTTCTTTTTTTCACTGATTTTGTCACACTAATTAATTTAATGAAATGTGTAACACATCTGAAAAGAAAAACATCTGGTGTGTCCTCTCACACTACTTTCCTACCTATTTCAGAAAAGTTTTTATACCTTTACGTATATTGATGAAGAAACAAAAAAAAATTGAATTAGATTTATTTTCCTGATAATTGATCAAAGAAAAGATTCGAGTACGATTTATTTGATAAACTAAAGCAATGTAAACCGGCTTAAGGTAGATCAGTGTAAAAATTTCAATACTCACTAATATTGCTGATCAAAACCTTTATGCCGTAGCTTAGTATTGTCAAACAATAATTTCTGTTAAAAGTAGCGGAAATAGTGAAGCTTGTGTGATGCGGGCAATAGATTTTCTTACTTTAACTTAGTTATCTTTTTTCTCTCATTCACCCCTTTCTGACACCAGGATATGAACCCGTAATCTTACATTGGAAATTAAATAGCTATAACTTCGTTATTAGTTGTCCAAAATGAACGATTTTTATTTAGTTTTGTAGGGAATTTCATTACTTTTCAAAAGTTTTATTATGAATTTTACCGTATAATATATACTTAGGGAGTTAGGCCTCATAACTTTTTTCTTTTATATATAGCATTTTTTCCTGTATTTTCTCGAGAATTTAGTCCATATATGAAAATTGAAAGGAAAATTATTAGAACATCATAGGAAAGTTTCATCAAAATCGTTAGAGCTGTTTTTGCGCTACAGTCTATAGAAAAACATGTTTTTCATTTATTGCGCGCAAGCTATTGCGCATGGAGCACCGAATTTCTGTCATAGGCATCATTAGTCAAAACCCTACAAAATAAAAAAAGAAGCAACAAAATCGGTTCAGTAGTTCCCGAGAAAATCTTGGCACAGACAGACAGACCAATGGCTAACAATGTGTTTTTCGGACTCAGGGTGCTCTGAAACGTATAGATCCGTCGAAAACCGCATATCAGAAATTTGATCTGATTGCAATACTTTCCTTACCTAGTATAGGTAGGAAAGTAAAAATAGTACACAAATAAAAATCTTTTCAAGAAAATGTGTCGTGTCTAACTTTGGTAATATAACATTTTTTTTATTTATTAAAATTATCAAAATGTTTCTTTCGATATTATCCAAAGTGCTCCAGGTATCTTAAAATTATTCTCCTCCATTTAACTTAATAGCAGATTATTAGTTCATCAAATATATATAATAAATAGAAATGTTTTAATTTTGAAAACTCATTGGAAACTAAACCGAATCTTCATGACCCGCATTCATCAATTCTCCATGAAATTTCCTTTCGTTTGATATCTGCTAAGAGGCAGAGAAGAGACTTTTACTATAACATTATTTTATACAGAACGGATTATTCTTTTAAAAATTATGTCATGATTTCATTATTATTTGCACAATTTATCTAATTTTTTTTTTTTATGTTACAGGAATGTGGTGGACAAGAAGAAAAAGAGCAGACTTCTGTTGAGATCGGCGAAAATGAAAATGATACCGATGAATATTTGCAACCTAAGAGTCGGCAAACCATTGCTGGATCACCATCTCCCCCGCTCGGTACAGACTCGCCAGTACCATCATCAGTACAGCCGCCCGGCTGGGGAGAACTCGGCCACCCACGGCGATACTGTTCAGACCCGTTGGCACCTAGAGGTATGCTTTATGCTTTATGCTTTCACTGAGCTTACTCCTATTGATATTATATATATGTATGTATATTTAAGTTTATTATAACTGTTACGCCATAATTTTTATAAAACAACATGGTTTATATATAAATAATAAAACGAAAATATCTTTATTATTCTGGGGCTAGTGTCCCTTTAGAACGAATTATAAATGCAGAATAGAAATAAACATATTAGTGTGTCCATAACTTAAATTAAATATTTATAAAATAATGATCATGTAAAGTAAAAACACAGGTAATAAAAAGAAATAAAAAAAATATTCATAAATAAATATATAATAAACAGAGAAAGATTAAATAGTATCTGGGATTACTTAGAGCGTCTTATGATTTATTCTCTTACATACATTTCATGATCAAGTGGATTGGGAGTGGAATAGGTGCTTAAAAAGGAGACTAATTTTGCATGTTGAGTATCGGGAGGGATATAATTCCAGAAAGAGACTGCTTGAATTGAAAAAGATTTTTCAAAAGCAGCAATTCGATGAGGAGGATAGAGATCAGACATACAGAATCTAATGAGACAAGATTGAATGTAGGATTTATATTATAGGCTCTCTAGAATATAGGAGGGTTGTCGAGATCTGATAACTTGTTTTGTTTTTTTTGCACAAAAGCAAGGAAGTACTGACAGGGATAGGACGGGTAGAGTCACTTCAACTCGGTGTAATACTGGATAATATGCGTATCTCTTCAGATCCCGAAAACATAGCGTAGTGAAAACAAAAGTTGGACTATAGGATTAATTTGATTTTATATACTATACTATATAATAATTGTTCCTATATCATAATGCATAATTGATTCGTTAAATCAAACTTTAAACTTTTTTGTTCTTAATTTACAAAATCAAAGTTCCATTATTTTGGTGCAAAGCAAATTAAAAGCACTTCATGGAGCAACATAAAGTTTTAATTAAAAAGAAATTAAAAAAATAAATTAGTAAATTTGACTTAATCTTAATTACCTACACAAAAATATGATTATTCTATCATAATATGATTTAATAATTATCTTAAACTATTGCCATTGTCATTGCAGAAGAGATAGTCGTAGACGAAAGAGATGGTATCCCTACCATCGCCAGCAGACGGGAGGCCCAGATCGGAAACTTGAAGCTGGAGCTGCCATTGGATGAAGACGACTACTTGATGCCATCACCCCACCAGAGCCAAGCCACAACAGCGTACATGGATCTCATTGGCGACACACATTCAGCAGCTCAAGCCAACAGTAAGTGTGCAAAATATTATCATTTAATATTAGAAATATATATTATTTTTCGGTTGGTGCTATATAGATAGATACAATGTAGATCTTTAGGTGCACAATGTGATCCTCGTATGAACCTATATTGTTTGCGAGAGCAAAGATAGCATGGAGGGGATCTTCCTACATCACGTGTTATAAACCATGATCTGTCAATGGCAGACCAATATCCATAGCTGACCATGTTTCCCCATAGCTCCATAGTCATTAGATCGGTCTAAATTCATGGATTATGGTTGCTCAACTTCAGCAAGCGAACAGGGTAATAATAATCAATATGTATTTTATATGTAATAGACTATTACAAATAAAATACAAGAGTTTTTTTTATAAAAAATAACATATATATATATATATATATATATAATTTGATCACAAACAGATCACAAAAAAAGGGCCATGGCCTGTTATTTTGATATTTTGGGTGTCTAGCTCACGCCAAACGGCTCAATATTTTTGAAGGGCACTTTAAGGGGCAATTAAAGTGAAAAGCCAATGGGTATTTATGATTTTTTAGTATCTCATTAAATGAACAATGTTTGCTGATCTCGAGATGAAAAATGCCCGAATTTTCGTGGATAAAATATTTGTAGGTTAGGATGAGATGAAGCTATTTACGAAGTTTCAGGCGGATGTTAATAATTTGATAAAAAGGTGTGTGTACTACGGACTAAAACAGAATACATAATTATATGGCACAGCCAGACTCACCTCTGAGTCATTGAGAATAGGAGAACAGTTACATACTCACTTAAGTGCCACACTCTACTTTTGGTGAAAAATAACTTGAATTAAAACCATTTCTCTTGAAAATGATAATTAGATACCGATGTAGTTCGAACCTGTAAATAAAATCATATTCTCTATATAAATAAAGAGTTAATTATTCATTTTTATATTTACATTATAAAACATCTAAAGCATGGAATATAATAAAAGTTTTAATTTAATACATTATTTTTGTTATTTTTCAGAACAAGGAGACGCTAATGGCTTGAGTAACACTTACCCAGACTTCATTCCCGCTGGCACATCGATGGTTGACAACCCAGAGTACCATTTATGCATAGGTCAGACTCTCGGTATCCCTCCACCTCCCCCACCTCTCACGCACCAGAAGTCTTCTGAAGAAGAATCAGATCACGAGTATTACAACGACTTTGACCGCTTGCAGAGAGAACTTCAACCGCTTCGAAGGAATGAAACCACCGTATGATGAAATTATGAACTTTTAAAATATCATTAGTACTATGTAAAAAGTACAAAGTGTTGGAGAAATCCTAAGAAAATGTAAATAGTTTAAAAAAAAATATATATGTAAGAAAGGCCATGTTGACTCATCATTAAGAGTGAGTATAAACTGGAAAGTGCAAAATATTTAGGGATATTAGTATTTATTATATTGTATCGTGAGCTTAATTTTTTGTGTTATTGGCACAACACGTCAAACAACGATTACACTTTTTGTACATATGTATTTTTATGTATATGTATTTTTGGCCATATTCAGGTGTTGTAAGTCGAAGCCTCTCTATCAATGCTGTATTATGGAAAGATTGGATGTGTAGTCTTCATGCCATTTAAAAAAAAAATATATGTATGTTATGTTTTATAAGAAACTCGTGTATTTTATTTGTAATAATTTATTACAAATATTGTTGTGTATAATAACAAATTTGTGCCATTTTTTCGGGTGGCTTATTATTTTTGTATATTAGTAATAGTGGTGTCCCTATTATGTATGTGAATAAAACAAAAAAAAAATAAATTAAAAGAAAAAAAAGGTGGGCTTACATAGTAAGCAATTTTATGATTGATATAGACAGTGTACTTACTTTGATGTAACTATAAGAATTTGTAAATATCTATATAGTTTATATAAGAAGGATAATTTCATATATACGAGGCGAATACAAAAACTATTTTGTCTTTCTTAAACCCTTTTATTATTCTACTTGATATGTGAAATTATCTTTAAAAATTTTATAAATAAGACAATACGACTGTGATATATTCAATAACTTTTATTGTTTTTTTATTATTAGAATTCCAAAACTGTTAATGTTTTAAGTGATTTTAAAAAAGAAAATTCTTGCCTACCAATTTTTAAATTAATAAATTGTTATATATGTCGGAATTATTTTGTAATATTATTCTTGTTAGATATTATCAAGCCTTTTCAATTAGCATTTAAAAAGTTCCTTTGGTAAATTTGGTAAAAAAAATAAAAATATATATATATACAAAATTGTACTAAACTTCGGAACATTGTATAATATGTTTAATAGGTAATTGTTTCCTGTAAATTCCAATATTATATAATGACTATGTAAATTTATTTCTGTTTTTAAAATTAATAATTGTGAATTTATAAATACTTTATAAAAATGTTTAATAAAGTAAAACAATAAACTATTTTTGTTATTTCCTCTTAATAGTGTAGAGTATTATTTTACAAATTACCTTTTTGCATTCTTTTCTTGTCGTTTTGATTCTGGAGAACACACAAGAAAAAATGACATATGTGTATTCTGATAATAGAACATCTCACAAAGATAAGTTTTTAGCTAACACCTACCAATTTCTAAACATAAGTAAAAGTTAATAAATCAGATTTAATTTTTACTTTCACTTAGATATATATGTAATATATAGTAAGGGTAAGTATTCGGATCGTGAAAATTTTTGAATCTGAATTTTCATCGGAAATACACGTTTTGAGATCCTTTGAGTCCAAATAATCAAGTCCTGCAAAACGGTGTGTGTGTGTCGGTATATGCATGGGAACAGCGTAGCTCAAAAACGAAAAAGCCATACGAAACTCAAATTGCGTATTTGAGGTTTTAAAAATCCTTGGATGTTACAACAATATTTTCGTCAAATTCGGAAAACTGGAAGTGGTACTTTATATAATCGCTTAAACAAATTTTTATGATTTTCTCAAAAATGGCTATAATGAGTTGGATAAAACTACTCAGTATATCAGTGTATTATTAAGTACTTTTTAATAAAATATAGGTTTTATTCTCATTGATGCTCTCTTAAATGGCTAATTTTCAATATTAGCTTCCTTTAATTTTTTATATTTGAAGTAATTAAGGACTTCACACTAATCATTGATACAAAAAATAGTTAAATATAAAATAAGAAAATTTGATAATTAAAATAAAGGAAAATAAGAGATCGTAACGGATAATAGTTGAAATGGAGGAACCAAAGGAATACGAGCGTGCCCGAGCTCAACCGAATGATTATAACAGGCTTCCATATGTAACATGAGCTTAATATCATAGAGACTCAGACAATATTATGTACATATACATATGCGGTTTTCATAAATGCTATCGTTGGTATTATTTAATATTTAATTGTATAGAATACAACCATATAAAAATTAAAATTTGTCTATATAAGGGTATTTAAACATATAAAAATACCCTCAATGAAACTTAAATAAATATAGCTTCTATAATTTTTACTATCATTTCCCCTTTGTATGAAAATACTTATTTCTGTTAAGAAGAGTATGCTAAGTGAAAGTCGTGTGATGTGTACACCAGATTTTTTAAATATTTTTATTGAATAATATTACAATCTGCCACTTTTGGAGAGCAGTAAGTATTAAGGCTAAAAGTGCTTATTCATATAAACAATAGAAAAATAACAATAAATATTTTAAAAAATAAATAAGAAAAAAGATATCTTCTTATACTCATTCCTACCTACAATATTTACATTCACCCAGGAAACTCCAAGACAAGCGTTGTCAGACACATATGAAAGGCGAAGCAGGACTCCAGGATATCCTAGTGTTTCTTTTCCAGTGGTGAAACTGTTAATACTGAACGCTTTAATTAGACAAATAATGATTAAAAATTATTAGGGAATTAGAGTTCTTTATACCACATGAACTGTGGATAACTCCGCCTCAGTAAAGAAATTAGAATCACAGATAAAAAATAATAATGTTCGAGAAGTTTTTCTTAATTCTTAGTTTAAAAAGGAATGAAATCCAAAAGTTATTAGTCAGTGGTACAGACCCCTTTTTATCAAAATATTACCATCCGCCTGAAACTTTCTAAATAGCTTCATCACATCTAAACCTACAAATATTGGATTTACGAAAACTCTTGTAATTGGGGCTTTTCAAACTGCAGATAACCAAACTTTGTCTATTTAATTAGGTCCTAAAAACTTGTGATTACCAATTTTCTTTCTAATTGGATCATAAGAACATTTGTTAAAAAAAAATGGTGGTATACAAAAATATAAGCCTGTTTGACGTGACCTACACCCTCAAAGTTTCAAAATAACGAGGTTATATAGGGCAAACGAGCCAATATTTTTGTAGGTCACCTTTTTTATCGATTTTGTGATCAAATTATCTTACGATACAAATAGAATGCAAATGGGCATTCACGAGTTTTTAGTACTTAATTAAATAGACAAAATTGGCAGATTGAAAACGCCCCAATTCCAAGAGTTGTATGTAGGTTACATAATATGAAACTATTTACGAAGTTTTAGGCGGTGTTAATAATTCGATAAAAAGGGGTCTATACCATGGACTATATTGATGTGGGTTGAAAGAATAGCAATTCAGCTTTCAAGGATTGTACTAACATTGAGTTTAGAAAAACTTTGGAAGTTATAAATGCTTTAGTTAAACACAGAAAAAAACAAAAAAAACAGAAAAACAAGTACTAAATTTTGTAATTTTTAATTTCTATAAAAATTCCTATTTAAGACTTTCAAAGCACATTAAAAATCGATTCTAACTTGTCTTTAAATAATGATTTTTTTTGGCCTACTTTACTGTAAGGATTTTGCCTTTTGATTTTTATAATTGATGATACTTAATAGCTCATTTAATACCATAATCAATATTTTTCTTATTGCACACACACACCAAAAAAAATCGATCGATATTTAATATCCTAAAAATCTGGACAAAGCAAAGGCAAAAATAAATAATATATATTTATAGTGAGGAATTACACAAAATATTTTTTTATCAGCTATTTGGAAAGAACGCCGGCGACATCAATTATTTTCGATGTAATATCACTGATAAAAATTGGATGAAATCGGTGACCTGCAAACTATAGTAAATTTCAGGCACCTAAGGGTCTTATATTACATTTCAAAATAATTAATATTTATTTGGGATTCTTCGAATCGAAAAATATAAATATCTTGACAATATACATTTTTAGTTTCATATTTCTTCTACGTAAGGTAAGGAAAGTATTGTGATCGGGTCAAATTTCCGATGAGCGGTTTTCGAAGGACCTTAACGTTTCAGAGCCCCCTCAGTCTGAAAAATATATTTTCATCCATTGTTCTGTCTGACTGTTTGTACCAAGATTATTTTGGGAACTAATAGACCGAATTTTTTTAATTTGCAGGGTTGATTACTGACGTCTGCGACACAAATTGAGTGCTCCGTGCGCAATATCTTTCTTAGAAAGGTAATGAAATTCCTTACAAAACTATATAAAAATCGTTCATTTCGGACAATTATCAACGAAGTAACAGCTATTTAATTTTGTCTGTCAGATTACGTTTTTTTTTTATTTTACTGAAATTTACAACTGTATTACATAGAAAATACATCAAGTAAATGTGACAATGGTAACATGACATGTACAACATGAAGAGAAACTACCCATTGGTAGAACTCTTCTTTTCAGACGCCTCGGAGGGTTATCAGGGATCGAGGAGAAAGCAAGGTTTGAAACGAGAGGATTCGGATGGTTCTTGAGTTTATTGAGGAAGGATAGGTATCTGGATTGGGCCAAATCGGAAACATATGGAACATTAAGGTCATTATGGATGATTTTATTTGTGACAACGTAAGGAGCGTTGAGGATTTTACGAAGGATTTTGGATTGAATACGAGAAGAATTCGATGGTTTAGTAGAGCCCCAAAGCTCAATCCCGTTAGTCCAAATAGGTCTTATTATTGTCATATATATGAGTCGTTTGTAATTGATTGAAAGCTTAGAGCGCTTGTCTAGTAAGTGCTGCAGTAGTCGAAAACGTCGGGCGGTTTCTAGTCGTTTCAGTCTGGTATGGGGGTTCCAAGTTAGTCGTTTGTCCAGGTGGAGTCCTAAGTATCGGATTTGTTCGACAGGGATAAGAGGGCTATTGTTGAAGGATACTATAGGACTAGATTACGAGTTAAAATCAAAAGTAATGACAGTAAAAAAAAAA